GTGGCTGGCGCCTTAGCCGCTTGAGCCACAGGTGCCGAGCCAAGAAAAAGACTTAACAAAATTCAACACCCATTCATAATACACAAAACACCAAAACATTCAGCAAACTAGAAATAGAAGGCAGCCTGAGTATTCATGAAAAACTTATAGCTGGCTAACACTGTATGCAGTGATAAAAACATAAAAAAAGACTGAACTTGAATGCAATATTATACTACAAGTAGCACAATACAGTAAGGCAAGAAAAATAAATAAAAGGCATAGGCCGGTATGGTGGCTCACGCCCATAATACCAGCACTCTGGGAGGCTGAGGCGGGCAGATCACTAGTACAAGACCAGCCTGAGCTAGAATGAGACCCTATCTCTAAAAAAATAGCCAGGGCTCAGAGCCCATAGCACAGTAGTTACGGCACCGGCCACATGCACAAAGGCTGGCGGGTTTGAACCTAGCCTAAGTCAGCTAAACAACAAGACAACTGCAAGGAAAAAATAGCCAGGCGTTATGGCTGACACCTGTACTCCCAACTACTAGGGAGGCTGAGGTTAAGACAATCACTTAAGCCCAAGAGTTTGAGGTTGCTCTGAGCTGTGATGCCACAGCACTCTACTGAGGGCAATATAGTGAGACTCTGTCTCAAAAAAAAGTAGCCAGCCGGGCATTATGATGCGCGCTTATAGCCCCAACTACTCGGGAGGCTGAGGGAAGAGAATCGTTTGAGCCCAACAGTCTTAGGTTACTAAGTCTTTGTTACCACATTCTACCAGGGGTGACAAAGTGAGACTCTTGTCACCTAAAAAAAAAAAAAAAAAAAAAGGGTATAATCTGACAAAGATGTAAAACTGCCTTATTTATAGGTAACATGATGGTTTATGTAGAAAACTTGAGAAGTCAACAAAAACTAGTAAAACCAATGAGTACGTTTAGCAAAGTGCCTAGTATAAGATTAATTCATAAAATTCAATTGTATTTCATGATCATGACAACAAACTGTTGAAACAAAATACAATGCTATTGGGAGGTGCCTGTGGCTCAGTGGGTAGGGCACCAGCCCCCATACACTGAGGGTGGCGAGTATGAACCCAGCCCCAGCCAAACTGTAACCAAAAAATAGTCGTGCAGTCTGGCGGACACCTGTAGTCCCAGCTACTCAGGAGGCTGAGGCAAGAGAATCTCCTAAGCCCAGGAGTTGGAGGTTGTTGTGAGCTGTGATGCCATAGTACTCTACAGAAGGCAACAAAGTAAGACTCTGTCTCTTAAAAAAAAAAAAAAA